AATCAACATGTAAAACCTGGTTCATGTGTTATCCTCAACAATATGGTACTTTTCCGAATTCCGAACTCTCGTGTGGCTTCCTGACAAGCTCTCACTACTGTTCAGTATTAATTTACATATACATGTAGCGGATACTGCTGTCATACAAAAACTGTATTTTGTAGCCTTTCGATAATACTCGAGAAATCTTAGACTCATCTCACTCTACCAATATCTATCTTTCTGTAATCCGTTCTGTTCAGTCAACAATCTGTTTCATACAATATAACAGTAGCTGTAGGGCAGAGAAGTCACTAATGAGGGGAGACGTGTGTAGGAAGGGAGATAACTCGTCTGTACTGAAAGTGTGAGAGGTGGCGATGGAAGATTATATTTGATTTAGAACCTGTTATTGTCTTTCGATAGAAACGAGATTGGATATCAGTTACATTAATTATACAAAGCCCACCTCCTACAATCTTGTTAAAACGACTGGAAATGGCATGTTCAATACTAGAATAAAATAATTCGATCTGGTGTTTCTCGAACAAATTGAAAATATCACAGAAAACTAGACAGGTTGGCTATTTTTGTGCCAGATTGTCACATATGTTATTAGTTTCCAATAAAATAAATGTACGAAAGATTAAAGACAAATGATCAGCATCTGACTGTGCGGTTTTTTGTTTTTTGTTTGTTTGTTTGGTTTTTTTTTCATAATTAAATGTTAAAAGGTATATAAGATATTAACGAAAGGTATTTCAGTATGGTAGATATCGAAACAACGAATATATTTGCCTTGATACAATTCAACATTAGAACATTCCATTAAACTATACAACATTTCTTTTCGAAGCGATTGCAGAGCGAAACGCCGCGATTGAGTGAAGTTAACATGGGTAGGGTCATTGCTCTGATAATGCAGGGGCATTTGCAACGTCATGAAGCCCAGCAATATGGTGTACATGAGATAACAACATCCCATATAATTGAGCATTTCAGAGCCACAGGGAGATTGAGTGACCGTCCCAAGGACGGACATCTGAATGTTACTTTGCGACGTCAAGATAGAGGCATACCTATCTCCCACCTTCGTAACCGCTTTCAGACGGTGACGACACGTCAAGTTGGCGGAACTCATGGTTGACCAGATTTCCAAAAACAGTTAGGAATCGGTTGCGGGAGCTTCATTTAAGGCTACGTCGTCCCTATGTTGGTCTGCCACTTACGTAAATTTGACGCCAATGTCCAATGCAATGGCTGCCCATTGGAGACGCGTTTTGTTCACTGACGTGTCTCGCTTCACGCTTTACAGATCAGATGGACGACAACGTGTCTATCGACGTGGTGGTGAGCGATATTCTGACGCCTGCATAATGGAGAGCGAGGGAGGGTCTTTTATCGAATGGGCAGGGATATCTCAAGGCATGAAAACACCTCTCATGGTTATCCATGGCAATTTTGCAGCAGTAACATATCGGAATTCGGTCTTGAGACCACACGTCCTTCCTCTTATACATCAACATAACCTTACGTTGAAGCAGGACAATGCGAGGCCCCATGTTGCCATGGGTATGTCGTGACTTTCTGGCTCAAAACAACGTCCCGGTTCTTGACTGACCACCATACAGTCCAGATTTGTCCCCATTCGAGCATTTATGGGACCAATGGACTGGAGGTCGAGGAAGCCCGTCAAAGAACAATAAACAGCTTGATAGGGTCAATGTTGAGGAGAGTAAGAGCAGCGACTGAAGCCTGGGGTGGGCACACACGTTACAGATTTGGACCAGGAATCGGCGTATGATTTTCCTGTTCTAACACTCCACGCAAACGCCGTCTGATGGGACATCAAAAACCATCAAAATGTATTCAGTAATGATGACATAACTAATCGAGAAACAGAATGAACTAATCATCAAGGAATCATGTAAAATAATAACTATCGAAAAGAAACTTGGGTTTCTTATTTCCGCTATCATACGTCTATATTTAAGATCTTGTACAAGTATATATTTGGGAGATGTTGTAACCAATACAAAGAAGTTGGGAGGACTGGTATGACAGGTCCATTTTTCACCTATGGATAATAAATTCTCAGGTCTCTTATCTCAGTGGAAGCTGGGAAAAAGTTATATTTGGAACCAGATTAACACTTTTGTCTCTGTCCACACAAAAAATTTGACAGTTGAGCCAATATGTACTCCCCAGTTTTTCCTTTCTTGGTTCTGGGTTATCAAACACATTCAGCAATTTCATAAGAACTATCATTTGGTGATGAATTTCATGGAAGCACCTGTGGTCATATATTTAGTGTGTGCTATTTTATCATATAATTACAAATGAACATACTTGATTAGCATTCAATATCTTTACAAAGGGAAACACTATGTGCTCCAGTCATTTCTTAAAAAGGACATGAAAATAGAAATATAGAGCGACATACTTTAATGACTTTCTTGTACATGGAAAGTGACAAAGATTCCCAAGCCTTAAAACAAGAATCAGTTAAACAGGAAATCAGATTAGCTCTTATTTTGGTTAGTTTCTTTTTTTCTCCCCATATCATATATTGATTATCTCAGACTTTTTAGTATGTCTTTATTTCTACATAAATCCTTGTAAGAATACACTTTGTAGGTATAAAGATATTTTTCTGAACACCAACTCAAATTCATCAAAGTTAATGTATAAACAAACCAACATTTGACAGTCGTTCTGAAAATTGATTTATTTCAGCAATTGTGTGTACACATTGAGTATGATGACTTTGGCATAGTTCATCCGCCCGGTAGAATGTCAGCTACTGTATAATTAAGTATCATAGTAATTAATAAATGGTACCCGAAGGCTTCCTTCCACTAATTGATGATAATAATTAAGAATAAAAGTGTTGATGAGGTGACAATGATGTAAAAATGACAAGGTATTTATAATATGTATCAAGATACCACAACTCTCTTAACTAAACTTTAACAATAACAAAATTAGTTGTAACAACCACGCATACATTTACACACATGGACACTCTTCAAATAAATATTGTAACAGAATATTCAAAACTTGGCACATGGTCACGAGATGGTTAAACGGGTAAACAAACTATTCACAAATACTATTAAAGTGTCTGTATGTTACTAACATTCATGAAAATACTTCACCTTGGTTCCACTGTATATGTAATTGGTATCAAAATTAATTAAGTGTTCATTTCTCAAACTGACAGGTTCCCTGAAGGAAGCTGGTCATTTGTAGGTGTGAGGCACTTCAGATTTCAGATGTGAAATAATCAACTATTTGTCAATCTGATTATCCGTCAGTTGTTGTAATTTTGAACAAGATATATGGAGTAGTCTCCCTTACTCTACCTATATGTGAAGTTTAAATCCTCACAACCCCTAACATACCAAGATTTTGTGTACTGAGTTAACCTGTTAGATATTAGGAAAATTCATCAAAGAAATTTCCACGAAACATGAAATTACACTCAGTAGTTACAGTACACAAATATGATAAATCACTATAAATCTAGTTGTCTATTATTGACTGTTCAATGGAACTCTACCAGAACAAACATACTAAGTATTATATCATGGTATTCAATGTATATTTACAGTAGTATTGTATCATTGTAATGTATCACACTACTGTAGTATTGTATCACACTACAGTAGTATTGTATCATTGTAATGTATCACACTACTGTATTATTGTATCACACTACAGTAGTATTGTATCATTGTAATGTATCACACTACTGTCGTATTGTATCACACTACTGTAGTATTGTATCATTGTAATGTATCACACTACTGTAGTATTGTATCATTGTAATGTATCACACTACTGTAGTATTGTATCACACTACAGTAGTATTGTATCATTGTAATGTATCACACTACTGTAGTATTGTATCATTGTAATGTATCACACTACTGTAGTATTGTATCATTGTAATGTATCACACTACTGTAGTATTGTATCATTGTAATGTATCATACTAATGTAGTATTGTATCATTGTAATGTATCACACTACTGTAGTATTGTATCATTGTAATGTATCACACTATCATTGTATCACACTACTGTAGTATTGTATCATTGTAATGTATCACACTACTGTAGTATTGTATCATTGTAATGTATCACACTACTGTAGTATTGTATCATTGTAATGTATCACACTACTGTAGTATTGTATCATTGTAATGTATCACACTACTGTAGTATTGTATCACACTACTGTAGTATTGTATCACACTACTGTAGTATTGTATCACACTACTGTAGTATTGTATCACACTACTGAAGTATTGTATCATTGTAATGTATCACACTACTGTAGTATTGTATCACACTACTGTAGTATTGTATCATTGTAATGTATCACACTACTGTAGTATTGTATCATTGTAATGTATCACACTACTGTAGTATTGTATCACACTACTGTAGTATTGTATCATTGTAATGTATCACACTACTGTAGTATTGTATCATTGTAATGTATCACACTACTGTAGTATTGTATCATTGTAATGTATCACACTACTGTAGTATTGTATCATTGTAATGTATCATACTAACTGTAGTATTGTATCATTGTAATGTATCACACTACTGTAGTATTGTATCATTGTAATGTATCACACTACTGTAGTATTGTATCATTGTAATGTATCACACTACTGTAGTATTGTATCATTGTAATGTATCACACTACTGTAGTATCATTGTAATGTATCACACTACAGTAGTATTGTATCACACTACTGTAGTATTGTATCATCACACTACTGTAGTAATTGTGTATCACACTACAGTAGTATTGTATCATTGTAATGTATCACACTACAGTAGTATTGTATCACACTACTGTAGTATTGTATCATTGTAATGTATCACACTACTGTAGTATTGTATCATTGTAATGTATCACACTACTGTAGTATTGTATCATTGTAATGTATCACACTACTGTATCATTGTAATGTATCACAGTATTGTATCACACTACTGTAGTATTGTATCATTGTAATGTATCACACTACTATAGTATTGTATCATTGTAATGTATCATACTACTGTAGTATTGTATCATTAAGCTGTATCACAGTACTGTAGCATACTTTGGATGCATTGTATCATTTTATTACAGTACCACAATGTTACAGTACAATAACTTTGTGTGATTGTAAACTTTGTATTACACTACAGATACAATGCATCGTTGTATACACAATATTACAGAATAGTAACTTTGTGTGATTATAAACTTAGTATTACAATACAATATTGCAGTATAGTAGTAAACTTGTGTGATTGTATACACTGTATTATAAATTATATACTTTATTACACAAACTACACTCTCCCTTCTTGATTTTCATCATCATATTGTTCAATAATAGATACACAACCAATATTTTTGATTTCATCAAGTTCATGATCAACAACACTCACAGTTTAAACACAACCGTAATGATTCTTTTTATTTATCTATATAATTTAATTCTGTTACCATATTTCACTAATGACAGGCATTCTGTTAGAAGACAGAGGGGAATTCAGAAGGGACATAACAGACTTTTGGTTGCAGAAGGGTAGAAGTGTGCGGAGCAGAGCTTAAAATGAGGGATAGTATACATGTTTGTGGAGTGACATCAATTTTCTGATATTTTATGCTGAAACGACCTATTTCAAAATGTATATATAAATATGTCTGAAATTAATTTTAATTAGGTCATGGGTGGGCTAAATAAATGATGTATGTTTATCACTGGTAAATTATGGTAACATGGCTTTATAATAACATGCTACGAATATAAATTATCATCCTAATGTATTGCCAAATAACTTATACACACACACTACTGAACAATCTTAGTTGTCTTATTTCTAGTCTGTAGGATTACAATCAATTCTTGTTTTAGCGTCCTGTAGTAAGCCCACCTCCTGACATTTAGCCAGGATTTCCTTGTTGGCCTGGGCTTATTACAGGATAAATACAGCATTTAACTAGCAGGCACAACTAAATCTACACCAAACCAAGGCCTGGTATAACACAACATATACATTGTACTTCAAACAAAATGCTCGGGCATTCCTCTAAGTCTGTAACCTTGTATCTGTAACATATATCTAATAGGACTAGATCTTGGTAGGAGCATTCTTATCGTTTTCATTATATCTTCAAAATTACAAAGTGAAATGATTTCAAAAATCTTTATGTTAAGATTTTTTTTCTGTAATTTTACCAGTTTACACATGTCTATCACTTTAGATTCACAAGACCAATATGAAGTTGGAAACTTCTAGAGATTCATGATCAGCGACCACCATATTGTCAATCTAGATCAATGCATTGATAAATTCAGCGACAATTTTTTAATGAGACATCCATTCATTTATATAAATATAAATGGTGACGTTCACTATTCACAATACAAACATCCTATAAATTGTTATACAAGCACATGTAAGCAAATATTAAACAAGAGATAAAGAGTTATGCAACATTCAACTGAGGTCATGAAAAGTCAACAGCAAAAATCCTTTGAAAGGTACAAACATTTACAAATACAAATTTCAGTGTATACATATATATGTATATATATATATATAAAGAAAAAATAGGATCATGCACTTTAAAAATTGTTTTGAAATAGAAAGATGTATTAATGATCCAGCAACACCTAATAAATTGAAGTAAATGAGATGGTATATGTTGCAAGAATGACAGACCAACCTAGGATGGTTTACAATATAGAGGAGATAAAAATTTCCCAATAATAATGAAATACCTTTACCATTAGAAAAGAAGTCTAATAAAAGCATTTAACATTTTATAAATAATTAAATTTTTGAGACAAAATGATATCACAAAAATGACTTTTTGATATTTGATAAATTCATGATTAAAGACTTTAAGAAAAAAAAAAAAAGAAAGATGAAAAGACAGACAAGGGTGCATCTGTTTAGCCCTGTACAATCTGATATGTTTGCTCTTACAATCTTATTCCATAAATAGAAAGCGAAAGTGAAACAAGACTGAGTTTACAAACACATTGTTGAAAGTGTTGTATGATGAGTTATCTTTCTTTGACAGACAGATTTTGACAGTGGTACTGTCTGCCATTACATGTAACATGAGGGAATGTCAGAATCCATTACATGTAGGGAAAATCTAAACAAGAAGTGCCTTTAATACCAGTAAAATATCAAAATTTGGAAATAATTTCTCTAATATAATACAAGTATTGACTATTGATAAAAATCCAGAAATATGATATTCTAAATGTATAGATATATACATGTAGTTTTACAATGCTGAAGTTCAAGGTGATACTTTGATAATAATATTACAACAGACAAAACAGAATGACTTTACCATGTAGATGAAAAGAATGATCAATTAATGAACAAAATAGAAATTGTATAAGATTTAGAACACAACCGACAGAAATAGCCAAATATAACTTGTAGTGGGCAGTGTAAATTACTTGAGAAATGTGTATACATATGAGAGGAAGTAGGGGATACACTGTACACATAATATCCCCATCAAAGCTTTGGTGAATCTTAATAAAGATGCAGAACTAAATAAATACTGATCAAGTATGTCTTATATCACATCAACCAATTACCAGAGCAAATCAAAGTGGCAAGATTTTCTCCAACATAAACAGTACATGGGTTACAATCTTAAAGTGAACACATCCCACAAGCTTTATTTACATGATGTGAAACGTTTAGGTTTTTTTGCCCATATTTTAATCTAAAATTTAATTAAACACACAGACTTTCATTAACAGTTTATCATTTCAACTTGCTATAATCTTTTCAAAATTTGCTATTTGACATGTACAATTTTGCACGTCCTTCAAAGTTTCTTCAATTTTAAAATAAAAAATGACATTTGATTCGATCTTGAAGCACCTAATTTCATGAATTATTATCAGCAATCGTTGATATTGATGAGGTACCCTGAATTGTGAATTAGTCATTACTGTGAATCAAATTAAAACATCAACCTTTGATTTTTCCCAAAACAATGTCTGCCCTTCATTTTCTTCTATCTAATCAAATATCTAGCTTCATTTTTCTCCATCCAATAATATGACAATCCTAGATTTTTCTCCATCCAATCATATGACAATCCAAGATTTTTCTCCATCAAATCACATGACAATCCAAGATTTTTCTCCGTCCAATCACAAGGCTATTCTAGATTTTTCTCCATCCAATCATATGGCAATCCTAGATTCCAATCAAATGACTATCCTCGATGTTTCTCCGTCCAATCACATGACTATAATCCTAAATTTTTCTCCATCCAACCAAGTGACCTTCCCAGGTTTTCTCCATCCAATCAAATGACTATCATTGATTTTTTTTTCATCCAATCAAATCTCTACCCTCAATATTTCTGTATTAAGCAAACCATGATAAGAAGGTCACTGTTGTTATATATTATATCCATAAAATTCCTAAAAGGAATGTTGACAGCCATGAAGCTGTAAATACATTTGGTAATTGTACTGGTTAGATGGATATTTACTTTCACACAATTTATTCAAATATCAAGAATTCCACACATGACCCTTTCGTCATATATACCTCAGTTGTAGGATTGATCACTTTTTTTCTGCTTGCAATATTCTTCAGTAACCAGGATATTTTCCAAACACATCCAAAGTAGGGCCATCTTTCCCCACAGCACTAAATTTCTACAGCCACATGTGGTTACTATAATGAGTGACCAAAGGCCAAGGAATAGTTGGTCAATAAATATTTAAAAGGTCAGATTCTATTCTGGTCACTCCAGATTCATTTCTTCTTCCAACATGGCATCCAACTCATCGGTTAAGCCCTGTAACATGTTGTCTATGTCATTCAGGACATCACCACCCGAGGGTCTGAAAAAGCCAGTTCATAAATACAATTGATGTATCAAATATATTAAGTGGTTTGTTAAGGCACAAAAGTAGGTGAGGCAGACAGCAGCAACAAAGAAGTAAAGCAGGTCAAATGGTATTCACAGAACTTTAATGTTTGAAACAAAATTAATTCAAGACATAGAATGTTATACGTGAATGTATAAATAACTTTGTAGTACCTGTTTTTATTAATTTCAGTGTACTGTATGCTGGCATATGCTCTGTGTTCCTTTATAGCATGTGTATGATGTAGATTTGTTTATGTTTAAGAGTTCAAAGGTCAGATTTCAGGTCCTGCACAAAGTAGTGGTAGTGCATAAATGCACATGATATAATATAGTGTTGTTCTGTCACTGCTAAATACAGCAAAGATGGCTTATTCCAATAGTGGCAATGCCCATGGAGTATAAATTGTGTAATCTCAATTATATCAAAATACTCAATGTATCACATTTGTTTAGTGACAATATTAGTGAAACTTTTCCTTCAGTATTGCAATATATATGCAAAAGCTTTCAACAATTATTTGATGGACTTACTGCAGAACTTTGGGGGATTTTGTAACAATTTTTTTTTATTGAAACCCGAATTCATATTATTTGATGTATTCTGTAACTAGTGAGGTGTTATATTGCTTCAAAATTATGTGGTTGCCAGTACATCAATACATTATATTACACTATTTCTCTGTTATATACATATTTGTTCTATCAAAGTCATTTAATTACACTGATAATGATATATATATATCCCTTTGAATATTCCAATATATTGTGATATGAAAAACTGTTTGCAATACCCACCCCCATCTTTAGTACATATTTTTATTTAATGTTATCCAGTGACAGTTGTGTAACAATATGATATTTCAATTTAGCCTATCTATGACAGGTGTACTTTTCAAGTAACACCAGTATAGCTACTAACAGTTGAACTCCAGCTGGTATTCCTGAATGAATTGCAACGGAGAGCACTTTGTTTCACCAGTATAGAATGACCTTGACTGTAAGCCATCTGACACTTACTTTGCTGTATTAAATCCTGAAGGCATTCCCATGGCTACCCCTGGCTTCTTCGGCACCACTGGCTTCTTGCTTTCTGTTGAGGAGTAAATAAGCAAAAATCTTAAACCATTGAAATTTCCTGGTCAAATTCATTTTTCTCTGATATATGAACAACTGCAAGCTTTCATATAGAAAGAGAAGCATACTAAATTCCTAAATAATGCAAACAAATGTACACATTAATGGTTTAACATGTATATTACAAACAAATCTAATTTAACCAATCAAGATAACAGCATGTCTGATTTCCTTTTTACCTATTTTCCTTTTCATTACATGGGAACCTTTAACACTTTCTATAAATGAAAAATGCATTGCATAGAAGGTTCTGAAGGGGCCTGTTAAGCATTGCATGCATATAACAAAATATAATTATTCAAATTTTAAATGTCTTTCCTTTGAAATGATGTATTGTATTAACAACATGAGTGAAGCTAGGATAATATGTAATTGTGCATCTTATTAATCAAATATGCTCATTTTTTGACAATGCCTATTTTGTATTTACATTCTTCAAAATGGACTTTGATACCATATTGTTCTATTGCATCCTGGGTTAAGTGACAAGTATTATGTGTATTACTTTAACGTGTAGGATGTGACAGATGTCATGTGTATTACTTTATCCTGTAGGATGTAACAGATGATATCTGTGTATTACTTACCTATGTGAGATGTGACAGGTGTTATGTGTTTTACTTACCTATATGGGATGTGACAGGTATCATGTGTTTTACTTACACTTGTGGAATGTGACAGGTGTCATCTGTTTTACTTACACTTGTGGGATGTGACAGGTGTCATCTGTTTTACTTACACTTGCGGGATGTGACAGGTGTTATGTGTTATACTTACCCCTGTGAGATGTGACAGATGTTATGTGTTGTACTTACCCCTGTGAGATGTGACAGATGTTATGTGTTATACTTACCCCTGTGAGATGTGACAGATGTTATGTGTTATACTTTCCCCTGTGAGATGTGACAGATGTTATGTGTTATACTTACCCCTGTGAGATGTGACAGATGTTATGTGTTATACTTACCCCTGTGAGATGTGACAGATGTTATGTGTTATACTTACCCCTGTGAGATGTGACAGATGTTATGTGTTATACTTACCCCTGTGAGATGTGACAGATGTTATGTGTTATACTTACCCCTGTGAGATGTGACAGATGTTATGTGTTATACTTACCCCTGTGAGATGTGACAGATGTTATGTGTTATACTTACCCCTGTGGAATATGAGAGGTTTTATGCAGATTACTTACCTTTGTGGGATGTGACAGGATGATGTGTAGAGGACACAGTGTGGGTGCCAGCGGAGAGATGCTGGAACATGTGAGAATTCCCCTGATCAAGCTCTTCAGAAATAAGCACTACAGAGGGCTTTGTAGTAGGTGTTCGCTGCTTTATTGTTCCTACATTTTCATTGGCAAATGGTAGAGTGTTGGAGTCAACACTCGACGTGGAGGTATTCAGATCCAAGCCAGGATTAGAGTCTTTTCTCTTTTCCCTAGCACTACCAATCTCACTATGAACACTACTGATGGGGTGCGGAGGATGACCCCCATTCACGGACGACACTTTGGGTGGCAGTGATGGTTTTGGATGAGACACAGCTGGGGCAGTACGAGACACAGAATGAGCCCCACCCTGAATTGTACCATGTGACTTAGGTGGAGGAGTAGGGGGCGGAGTTCCCTGGGCTGTCACAGACACAGTGGGTTGTGTCCTCAGTTTTACACCAAATGTACTTTCAACATTTCCCTCATTTGTTTCCTCATTGACTGACACAGTCTTGGCTGGACTGTGTTGAGTACTACTCACAACTGTACCCGGAGACATGCTGTGTTCCACTTTGGGTTTGCCTTGATGGCGATACTCACTACCCATACTGCTTTTCTCCTCCTTACTTGGAATCCCATAGTTGTGCAGTTTGGGAGTGATAATATCCATTGCAACAGGAGGAGGTGGTGGGGGAAACTCCTCCCCATCAGAACTACACACCTCATCAGAATTGCACGATTCCTCACGTTTCCTTCCAAATCTCTGCGAAAGAGACTGAACACAATTTGCAAATGCCTGTTCCTTTACATGTGAACTCTGATCCTGTTTGTTACCAACTGTCTGACCCTGAATGGCAGACTTAGGTATGCTACCAGCAAAGTGAGGTGACCTTTGCTCTTTTACACCAATGTCAGATCGTTGTGTAATGGAATTAGTCCGTTTTGGTGGTGGAGGAGGGGGAACCTTCCGACTTTTCCCACTTGGCGATCCTTGTTGAGGAGAGTTTTGAGATTGTGATGTCACTTCATGTTGTGTTGAGACAAAAATTGGATCCGTAACAGCACCATTTTTGTTGATTTTATGAGTCTGTGGTGAACCTGGTATCTCCTGCAGTTCAATCTTTTTGTGACTCGGAGACATATTGTGTATCTGAGGTTGATCATAGATATGATCTGATTTACGCTGTCCTCCATTATGCGATGGACTGTGACACACATCCTGATTTTTTTCAATTTCATGCTTTTCAATGTCTATAATGTCTGGTGAACATTCACGACTAGTACGTTTAGTTTTCGCAATTATTTTAGCAACAGGTTTTGGTTTAATGGCTGCCTTAGGAACAACAGTCGCCACAGGTAATGATGACTTGGGCGATCCCTGCACTATGTACATCATGTCGTCACCAGTTGGCGTGGTCTCGCGGTCCATGCTGTCTGACAGTCGCTGGCCTGTAGCTGGAACCTGAAATGACTGATAAGTGATTGTTTGACCACTCATGTCTCGTGACTCCTTTTGGTATGGTGCTGGGCCTGACTGAGATGATGACCTCTTAACCTGTATGGCCACAACATCAGGTTGGTATGATGATGTTGAACTGCCACTGGGACTAGGTGGAAGGAAGCATGAGTCAATGCTACTTTCACTACTATGTCGGTTCTTGAATGGCGAGGACGTTGCTGATGAGAATTCTATATTAGCGTTATTGGAGTTTTCACTAGATGATGAGCGGCGTGGTTTGTAGGGCATGCCTCCAGCCATGTCTTGGCCGTTATATGATGATGACATAACCTCGCCAGCTGACCATCGTGTGTTGTTGTTGGCTGGAGGCTCTAGTGCCTCACCTGATGAACGCTTGTTGTTGTCCATGGTAGAGAGACGTTTGGAACCAGACATGATTCTCTTAAGTCGCTCTATTGCAAGCATGATCTTCTTCTGGTGTCCTGAAAATATAAACTAATATATTATACTTGTCTGAAAAATACTGATCAAAGAACAATGCTGTATTTACTTCTTGTGATCTAAAAACACTTATAGATATAAAAATCAGTGACCTGAAAATAGACAACAGCAACAATTACATGTATATCCAATGATGACTTAAAAATACTATAAATCCAACCTCTCATTCAAATTCAATTAAAATCAACAACAAAGTCAATCACATTCCATAAAGTCTTCCTTTGGAGACCTACATAGTTGTCAAAGAGAGTCACTACTTCAATCCTTCACATACTCATTTGTGTGGGAAGAATATATACCACATCACAGTCAAATCCAACTTCAGGTGAATTTTTTGTATACCTATCCTACCAGCAAAGTAGTAAAGGTTACCATGGATACTGATAGGGATATATTTCCAACCAAGTCAACAAAACAGATGAGACTAACAAATTACATCTCTGATAATATTGGGTTTGACATGGAATCTCATTTAAACACAAAAAATTCATCTCGACTTTTAAAACACTTAGTTTTACATTAACTTTCAAAACCATCTGCCAGTAAGTTGAGAATGTCAGTTTGAGAGATAATTTCATAAAAGGTAATAAAAATTGAAGAAAAGAAAACAAAAAGAAAGAAAAACTGTGATTCAATTTGGTTTTCATGATTCATGGGATGAACAGTTTGGGCTTAGTTCTGATGTAACAAGAACAGTTTTGCTGCAAGTCTGCCAAATACCTGCCATGAGAGTGCTTTACCAATTTCAATTCATTCTTCAATTGAAAGCACAAAATGGAGCCAACCCAAAATGGTCTCATTCCTATTGATTCAAGTGTGGCCATTTTTTCAGTATTCTATTGGGAAAGAAAATGGAATTGATCACTATGGAAACAGAGAGAAGTCTGTCAGGCACAGCAAGAGAAGATCTCTATAGCCACAGAATTGTCAAATCTCACTCTATTCCTTTCAGACTTCTCTTCAATTCAAAATTGAGCATTTTTCTTCAAACTTTTTTCCCCACTTATTTTTATCTGCTTTCAACATTCTGTGCCTAAGTCAGGCAATTCTGTGCTGAACAGAAAAATTAAACAGATCATTTTGGTGTTCAAAAATGAGGTAAACCAGCTTGACAAACTAGAAGACAACGACTCAGTTCTCAAAACAAAAAGCCATAATGAAGAGATTTTTTGTTATTCCAGCAAAATAAATCATTTTAAAACATGAAATTTTCTATAAATGAGGAAAATCAAAGGTGACCGAAAGAGTCAAGATCTAGATGGGGAGGTGCACAAACCTATAATTCAATAAATCAATTTTCATAATTTCAATGTCCGTTAATTTTGTCTGAACTGTGCCGCTATTCAAATGGACGCCATGTTGGCGTTGTTACAATAAGGACACTATATAATGCTTGGTACAGTGTAATCTGTAATAACCAAGAAGGACCAAAACATTACTTAGAACAAAAAGAATGGGGTAGGATTATTACCATCCTCGATTCTCCAGGGATTATGATCACTTTCGCACTCTACACACCTGGAACATGATATAGCAAAATTGAAGGCACAAGTGAAGTAATTTGGTTGGATCCGGAAGAAAAAACTGACCAATCACAGACTGATATGTTTCTTTGAAGATTACAAAGAAGTGACACCCAACATCAAAAGAATTACAACATACAGTTATGTGACCTCTGAATTCACTTGGGATTAGATTTGTTTGATACACATCAAAGGATCAAACTGGTCTTTGTCTTGTCCACTAGATGTCTCGCATGGAACCTTCAATTTTGCCAAGATTTCTTACAAGGGTGCAGAGAGCGAAAGTGATTGTAACCCCTGGAGTATTGAGGATGGCTTATTACAGGACAATGATAACTTCAATAGATGGGGACAGGCTTATTACCTATCATGGGCTTATTGATGGTTATCACATACAGCACAATCTGACCAGAATGACCTGTGTTTGTCCCCTTAGGTCTGGAACAGAATGGCCTATATTTGTCTCCTTGGTGATGGACCAGAATGACCTATTTTTGTTTCCTTTAGTATGAACCAGAATGACCTATCTATGACCTATTATTAGGTCTGACCTTACCAAGTTTCTGAATGCCAATCTCCTCCAAGTCTTCCCAGGTGATGTCGGTGACATAGTCAACACTATCGTAGCCTTGGTTCACTAGTGTGGCGTGGTACTGCTCCAGGTTCAACAGATGTAACCATTCCATAACCGATGTCTGTAAAGACAGTTAATACTTTCACCTGACAGCCTGGCTGAGCAAAATCTTTCTATAAACAGTTTTTATTAGGTTCCAATATTTTATATAAAAGAAAACATGAATGGATATACAAGGAGTAAATAGCAAATATTAGAATCACTTGAAAATGGAAGCTTAACAGTGATATTCTGCATATGTAGGGTAATTTTATTTCAGTCTGTTTTGCACTGAAACTTCAAAGAAAAGTTTCCTTTCTTTCTTAGTGAAACCAAATTACAGAATGACAATTTCAAGAGTCTGAATTTTTTCCTTGAAGATGGGGACTTTGTTTAATAATACTATTATATTAAAAAACTATTAGTGTTGTTATTCAGTCAATTCTATTCAACAGAGAACAAATTACATGGTGTACTCTATAGACATTTTCTATAGAATCTACCTGCATGCCTCCTTCTATTAACTCTGTTCTTGTAACTAGATAACTACCAGAATGTATAATCCTATGAAATATTATAAATCTGTATCTGTCTTCCTTATGAACTATGAAATTCATGGTTTTTAATATGTAATTCATGGTTTTAATATGTAATTCATGGTTTTCAACATGTAATTCATGGGTTTTTAATATGTGATTCATGGGTTTTTAACATGTAATTAATGGTTTTCAACATGTAATTCATGGGTTTTTAATATGTAATTCATGGGTTTTTAACATGTAATTAATGGTTTTCAACATGTAATTCATGGTTTTCAACATGTAATTCATGGTTTTCAATATGTAATTCGTGGTTTTTAATATGTAACTCATGGTTTATGATACTGTAAAACAGGTCTATCAATGCTTGAAACAAAAAGGACATATTTCTCATACAAGTCATTAAAGGAACTATGGTCTTTTCTATAGATGCATTACATCTATTTTTTGCTCATTTAAATCCATTGCCAAATAAAAATGGAACTAATTGAAAAAAATCAAGACCTTTATGGTATTTGATGGTCTAGAACAATGCTCGAACTAAAGGAATACATAATATCAGTCAACATTTTAAAACAGTCAACTGGAAATGCATTTAGCAGCTTGTTACTTTAGACTAATTTAATACTAAAATAAAGCCTAGTATATCACATCTATTATTGAATTATAGCCAAAATCATCACGAGATAAAATTATAAAAGTCCCAAATTACAGCTGGATTATATAATTGTTGCCTTGAACATTTACATCAATTATAAGATGAAAAAACATTATAAATCTCAAGATGTATCTTTGTTTACAATCAAATTGTAGAAAAGTGCTGATATACTGCTTTTATTTTGTGTTTTTCTATGCTTCAAACTGTATACTTTATTTACATAACAGGAAAACCATGACTGAAACTGCACACACAATGAAAAGGTTAAAGTTAAGGAAGAGCATAATGGAGAAATTTATAGTGGAAATTACAGCATTAGATAATTGTTTTTGGTGGCAAATTGGATTTGTTAAGCGAAAATCTTTACTTGGGTTCGTACAGGCATATTTGTAACACTAGCAAACATCTAATCTGCACCTGTCTGTTATACAAGGTGCGGCACAAAATCAATTGAAAATATCCATTTATCTGTCAAATCTAGGTCAACATTGAAATCCTATTACTGCCTTTTTGCTAGTACACTAAGCTTGCATGACATGCTTTTCAAAGCCAAATGAAGATATTTATGCAGTTATTCTAGCAGTTAGTTTCTCAATCTCAAAATCAATAGTGATTAATTTCAATAAAACAGAGAATCCCACTGCTTGGTATCATTGTAATGGTGCACCATTTTACTCACTGGTTTGTGGTCAGGAATGCCATCATGGATGTTCAGACGCGCGATCTCAGCCTTAAGACGTTTTCTGTGGCCAGGTTTTGTTATCCCTATAGCTGTGAGATCCTGTGGAACAAAACTCAAGTTGGTAACAAAAACAAACAAAATGGAGTCATCATAGGTGAAACTAAGATCTTATATTATATCTTATAAGAAAGTCAGTTAATGAAATATGGGTTGTTTTTCTTGAAGTTTTTATTACAACAAACATTAGGTACTGGAATTTTCTTAATTATTTCCATAATTCAAAGAAAAGCTTGTGTTCACTTTTTTTTATGATTGAATGTAGCAGCTGCACATCACCAATCAAAATTCTGTTGATTTTGTTTACAAATACCCCCATGCAACTATGTTACAGTTAGAAAATTCCGCTTCTCCAATGATCATTTCAAGACCTTTACAAAAAAATTGATTTGTAGCAAACTAAAATATTAAGCATCAGTTATACATCAGTTTGACAGCATATTGCAAATATCTAAATAAAAACATTCGATACTTGAAACGAGTGGTGTATGATGTTTAAATATCCGCCCCATCGAAAAGAGGAAAAAACCCAAAGCCTTGTCAGGAACAATCAGCCGAGGTTATATCAAAGATGGTGTCAGTATCATCTTTACTGATAGTAAGTCACATGACAGGATCACATTTCTCTGATAGCAGGTCACATGACCCACTATTTCCTGTTGTCGGCTGACAGTAACTAGATAGTAGATACACCCCATTTCTCATTGAATGATAATAAATGCTTATAAATATTTACACAAAATTTGATTTAATTATGTTAGAAATGGGAGTCAAATTTGGCACAAGATAAGGGTAAATAAAATGTTTTAAACCCCTATCCATACATCTCAACTCATTTCCTCAGACTAACATGGCAATTACTTTTTCAGGAGTGTATTCTCAAAGACGAAACTGATATACATGTTCTGGGCTACCCAATTACTGATAATGAAGATTCATTGTCTGTCTACTCTTACAAAAGCACCTCAAGATTTCAAAAGAGGAAATTTTCCTGAATTGGAAAATTAACAGAAGATAAAAGTTTAAATTAGAAACAGTTACAACTAAATGAAAATTACCTTGTGAAATTTATTTTCACCTCTGACAGTAGTGTTATTTAAAAATGGTATTGTAAAGGAAATCTACAGAATAATTCAAACTGATCAGGAGGTATGTATTTATGGAAGAGCTTGAACAGTGAAACAAAATATTTGCATAGTTTATCAGCCTGTCAACAGCCAGGGTAATTTTCTGATGAAGGGTCTCCTTGTAGAAGCTGGTAACAACCTCACTGAACAACATATGGGAGGCCCATTGCATGTCATCCGGAGTAATTAGGCTTAATTATCTTGCTGAAGAATATACAACCCTGATGGCTGCATGCAGGCACCATGAGGTTGGTACATTTCTCATCTTCCTGAGAAACATAAACTGCCCTGAGTAGGGATCATCAAACCATGCACCTCAGATCTTCTCCAGAGGTTGCTAAGTCCAATGATATAAAGAATGATTACAGAACAGCAACCACAGCTGGACTGATAATTAAACAACATAAATATTTAACTTTCTAACACCATGAATTTCATAGAAAACCGAAATAGATTTTCTATCTATAAGAAACAAGGCCACAACATGTTTTGATGTAGATGAATTAAAAGAGTAGTTATACTGTGATCAACTCACCTCTGGAGTCATACGAGATATCGTTGGCATGTCATAGCCAGCCTGCAAAAAGTTGCCATGGTAATCTTCAAAGCGCAGATCTCGAAGCCAGCAGCGCAAGACTTCGTGATCCTGTGTATGACAAAAGGGCATGACATTTAGTGAGATGGTAATTGTCATGGTATACTCAACAAATAATGTCTGCTGGACTTTATATATATATATATATATAAAAACACACACACACACACAATTTGAAATGCCACACCTTATTTTATTTTTGCATTGTTTTTTAGTAAGGAAAATGAATATGTAAAAATTCAAAATAAATCATGAAGTAAACTCTTCAAAAGTACAGGAGCTCAAATGTTTTCAAAGAAGAATGAGGGTTGGGGTGGGAGGGGCGTTAGAAGTCTGGTTGAAACACAGGAGAAGGAAAATTAAGTAGAAAGGAAAAGACGTAAAAGAATAGACCTGAATCAGAAAACAGAAGAGGAAACAAAAAGGCACAGAAGTAACATGCAAAAGAGTTGAAGAAGGAGGCAGAAAGGAATAAAAACAATTGTTGATGTGTTTACAACCACCACCAATGACTCCATTCCCACAGCACAAACAACATAGTAGCATCGATTAACAGCCAGGCCATCTGGTGGCCCACAGGTAATTGATGGAGGGGGAAATCTCCTTACACACTCTCCCTACAATCAAGTACCATACAAATGGGAAGCAATTTTCTAGTGGAATAAATTGGAAAGCCATACATTTCGTCCCAATGGGTTCAAACAAACTTAGAATGTTCACTTACCATAGTTATCATACAATATTATAACTGACTCAATAGATTTACCACTGGGTTCAGACAAGCCTGTACAGTTCACCTACCATAGTTATCCTACAATATTATAACTGACTCGATAGATTTACCACTGGGTTCAGACAAGCCTGTACAGTTCACCTACCATAGTTATCATACAATATTATAACTGACTCAATAGATTTACCACTGGGTTCAGACAAGCCTGTACAGTTCACCTACCATAGTTATCATACAATATTATAACTGACTCAATAGATTTACCACTGGGTTCAGACAAACCTAGAATGTTCACCTACCATAGTTATCATACAATATTATAACTGACTCAATAGATTTACCACTGGGTTCAGACAAGCCTGTACAGTTCACCTACCATAGTTATCCTACAATATTATAACTGACTCAATAGATTTACCACTGGGTTCAGACAAGCCTGTACAGTTCACCTACCATAGTTATCCTACAATATTATAACTGACTCAATAGATTTACCACTGGGTTCAGACAAGCCTGTACAGTTCACCTACCATAGTTATCCTACAATATTATAACTGACTCGATAGATTTACCACTGGGTTCAGACAAACCTAGAATGTTCACCTACCATAGTTATCCTACAATATTATAACTCAATAGACTTTCCTACTTAACCTGATTAAAATCAGAGAGTATCTCAGAAGACAAGACAGCTGATGTAACATATTTCCTCCTTTATCAACAGGAGGTCTTACAAGTTTTGAAAATATTGCTCTCACTTCTGTTCCTAAGATGATGATTATATAATAAAGAGACCAAATTACTACAACTGTGCAAGGCATTGACCATTACTGGTCTGAAACAAAGTCTGTATCCTTGCAACATTTTATGGTGCTTTCCTGGCTTCAACCTACCGGCAGGCCTGCATGGACGAGCTCCGCCACGTTGATCTGGCTGCTATAGCCGCCCTCTTCAAGACGATCCAGACTGCCGACGCTGGAACTTGACGTACTGTGGTAGCTCTGACGTGAAGATACGCCGGACTCGTAACTCTGACCAGATAGACGATGTTGGTTATTTATCTGTACATTCGCGTAATTATGTGTTACCTGAAATTGAAAAATACATACGTAAATAATCATCTTCGCAAAGCCATAGACCCATATCTGGTAATCAGTACACCCTATCTTTTGCTGGCAACCAATGCTATTTCATTGTTCCCTGACTTGAGTCAAAATATTGGCATTCTGGGTTTTTTGAATACAAGAAAGCATTAATTAGATTTAGTTTCCATACTCATGATTCCAAAAGTATCTTCCTGTTCATCAAACAATGTTCAGATCAATCTTATTTTTTGCAATTAAAGCAGTGGACAGAATTACATCTGAAATGATTTTCTCCCTAATTGAATATGTTAGGGCACTGGCTTACATAACCTGAGGTGAAGATCTGAGGTATGCATTTCACAGGAATCTGAGAATTTAACCGTTGTGTGTTGTTGTGTCCTGCAGAGAATGACATTTTACCCTAATTTCTGTGGACACGACAGTCTTTCTGTATGTTGTTCAGTGAGGTCCCCACCAACTTATACATGTTAAACCAATCTGAATATGACCCTGGCTGTTCATAGGTCGATAAAACCAGGAAATAAACACATCACACCTCCTACCAAAATCTGACGTCAATATTCAAATGAAAGCTTTGAGGAATCATCAGTTTCATTTTTTTCAAACAAGGACTTTTTTCAAAATTTCCCAATAAACCAATAACACCCTAATTTCTGTGGACACGACAGTCTTTCTGTATGTTGTTCAGTGAGGTCCCCACCAACTTATACATGTTAAACCAATCTGAGTATGACCCTGGCTGTTCATAGGTCGATAAAACCAGGAAATAAACACATCACACCTCCTACCAAAATCTGACGTCAATATTCAAATGAAAGCTTTGAGGAATCATCAGTTTCATTTTTTTCAAACAAGGACTTTTTTCAAAATTTCCCAATAAACCAATAACACTGCATATACAATTTACTGCCATTCAAAAATAACTCCTAACATCAGATCAATAAGCAATTAGCAATGGAATTCTTCAGCTTCTGATAAATATTGCCCAATATACTACAATAGCGTGTCCAACAAGCCTACAGCACACACAGTAGAGAAGGTAGTACAAAGAAGTTCATGCTAGCAGTAATTTGTCTCAGCTTCAACAACATTCTAAGGGTCTGGTTTCCAAAACAGATGGTTGCCATGCTTACATGCATACATATATGCCTGTTACTTTTGGTTGTTAAGCTGTGTGAGAATTTCTGCATCTTCCCAAACCTGGTAAGCTTAAGAAGTTTGTACTTCAAGACTTGCAACTAGATTTCCAAGAAATATTCATAAATCAAAAGCATCTTCAGAGATTTTCATTCTTATACAGTAATCTAGAATCCTTACACATGTGACTCCGATTAAAAGTTTTGACATACATAAAAATATCCTTGATAAAGATTTGTCAAATTCTTAAGCTAACAATGTATTGAGCAATCACTTTAAAACTTCCCCTACTGGTACAAAGGACACCCAAGGCTTTATAGCATTGTTAGCTTACATAAAGAAAAATTAGTTAATTTCAACCCCTCAAAGTCCCAAATTTAACCCAAGGTTTTCATGATTCTGGATATATTGTGATCATTACTATGTTTTCTCAAGGCCATATGTAATTTGTTGATGAAATTTTTTACATCTGATGAAATATTTCTTGGTGATATAATTAAGCTTACAAGTTTTCCTGGTGTGTGCGCATGCTGTCTCTGACATCGTCACCTAATTGGTACATACACTGCCATCCAGAAAACCTTGACACATGACTTTGACTAGATTGTGTATAAAAAGTTCCAAGAGAAAATTGAAACAGTTGCAATTTTGAAAGTAACTATTCAATCAAAGTAATCAACATATTATCTGAAGTGATCACAAATCCCCTACAATCAACAGTGACCACAGACCATACAATCAACAGTGACCACAGACCTTACAATCAACAGTGACCACAGACCCTACAATCAACAGTGACCACAGACCCTACAATCAACAGTGACCACAGACCCTACAATCAACAGTGACCACAGACCCTACAATCAACAGTGACCACAGACCCTACAATCAACAGTGACCACAGACCCTACAATCAACAGTGACCACAGACCCTACAATCAACAGTGACCACAGATCCTACAATCAACAGTGACCACAGACCCTACAATCAACAGTGACCACAGACCCTACAATCAAAAGTGACCAGACCCTACAATCAAAAGTGACCACAGATCCTACAATCAAAAGTGACCACATACGCTACAATCAACAGTGACCACAGACCCTACAATCAACAGTGACCACAGACCCTACAATCAACAGTGACCACAGACCCTACAATCAACAGTGACCACAGACCCTACAATCAACAGTGACCACAGACCCTACAATCAACAGTGACCACAGACCCTACAATCAAAAGTGACCACATACCCTACAATCAACAGTGACCACAGACCCTACAATCAACAGTGACCACAGACCCTACAATCAACAGTGACCACAGACCCTACAATCAACAGTGACTACAGACCCTACATTTCAAAATGAACACATACCCTACAATGTAAAGTGATCACAGAATCTACAATCAAAAGTGATCACAAACCCTACAATCTAAAGTGTTCACTCATATACAATCCAATATGCTTAATATCATCCCCCCTCCAACCCTCAAAAAAGAAAAAATTGTGATCTCTTTGAAATATCCTTCTTGACAAACTGCAGGCCTATAATGTGTAAATTCTGGCCTTTTGACAGTCTACAATGAAAACTTATATATACACAGTACATCATTTCCACCCAAATCCCTCCTGCAACAACCTTTCTTGAATTGTGAAATCTGTAATACTCTATCAAAATTAACATTTAAAAGAGGTATCTACCAGTGTTCCACTTGCCTCCTCTGTAATAGTGCACTGTGAACAGGCATATTTCTTGGCAAAGTCTGTAACGGAATGCAGCCTTTTGATTTTTTTCATCATGAAAATTATATTTGTAGCAAGTCTGTCTGAGTTTTATTGACAATAAGTCATGTTGGTATACGTATTTTTTATGTTGTTATAACATATATCCCTCAGAAATTTGGAATTACACAGCATGTAACATCTTGTTACTGTTATAATCCATAACACAGCAATTCTACCAGTCGCCAAGTCACTTCTCTGGGATTCGTTTATCTAATCTGTCTTGCATATATAAACAGGTGTGGCTAGAGAGTGATTCATATCCAAAATGTCACCAAATGGTTTTCTATTTTTCGATGTTTAGATCTTCAAGAATATCAAGAGGTCATTACATTAGGGAATTTTTTTGAAATGTCAAGTTTTCCATCCATATTTTGATGTCTTTATGCCGAGTCTATCTGGATGTCTTTATGCAAAGTTTATCTGGATGTCCTTGAAAAGTCTATCTGGATGTCCTTACAGGTGCAAAGTATATCCATGATGTCATCAAAGAGCAACATTTCACCAAATATATCCTTGTACAGGTACATGTTGTCATGATATAAAAATCCAAGATTTCAAGAAACAATCAAGTATTTTCAGTAAACAATTGGAGTGCAGTGTATATTCGTAGGTCAAATGATAGAGATGTTTGTCTGAGATGGGATTATTAAAAACACATATTTCCAAACGTTGTCACCATATTTTCACATACATCCAATCCTTGTCACTGAACTGTCACATACATCCAATCCTTGTCACTAAACTATCACAAAAATCCCGTCCTTGTCACTGTACTGTCACATAAATCCAATTTTTGTCACAATATTGTCACATGCATCCAAACCTTGTCACTGTATTGTCACATGCATCCAAACCTTGTCACTGTAGTGTAACAGTATGGTCACAATTAGAACCTTGTCACAATATAGTCACATTATCCCATACTTGTTGGCTACATTGACATGATATCTAAGCACTGCCTCAGAATCACTTCATGTGAGTTCAGATTCCCTTTGTATTTTCTGTGACAGAATAATGGAGAAAAAGTAACCACCAGTGTAATAATATTTAACCCATAGTTGTCACAGAAGGCTGGAATATATGTCCCATATCTTAACCATTACACATGTCAGCACTGCTAGACACACACGTAACCATGGTAATACTGTCGTCCTCCTGGCATCAGTGTCTGTGGAAATATTCCTACCACATGATCTGGATGTCCAGTCGTGCACATAGTTATCATCTTAAGAACATGATGTCCAGTTATAATAATTGTTGACATTGTGACTGATGTCCTTTTTGATCCTATCACAATATTTTCTTATTGATTTTCTCCTTGCTGATATCAAAAGGTCACAGATTCCATTACGAGACAGCAAAACACATAACACTCTCAAGACATAGACAAATAATGAAAGTTGATCTTAGCATTTTTGAGATCTGCTTTAAAGAAAAATAATGAATAAAAGCAGCAGTCCTATCACAAAGTCATGCAGCGCTAGACTACCCGATTGAACTGCTGCAGCTCTACACTGCGATAACAAGAAATAAATTTACAGCAGAATGTTTGAAACCGGAACCTTGAGGCCGGCAATAATTGTCATTTACACTGCCTGCTTTTGAGGGTTTATCAAAGAGTTAGAGGAAGCCCAACTCTATAGAAATCAATAGAGGTATAACATCAGGTAGGGGGATTATAACTGTGAGACTGCCACATGTATATAATCGGTGCTAGATTCACCGCTCCTCTCCAGGCCACCCTCCAATCAGGCAGCAGGAGGCGAGAGTCGGACAGATTCAGCATGATAGTGAACACCTCTCACGACACCCTGGGGTTACATAATAGTAACACCGTGGCATAAAATCAGGGACCAAGCAATAAACGCCGATTAAATTCAAATGTCAAAAAGTTTGCTGCAGAACAACACTTAGTTACTCATCTCTATAGGAAATCATCATTGTATTATTATATCAGTGTTTGGTAGCTTGTATGTAACATGTGCTATGTTTTATAAAATCCATACTCTGCTTAAATTATTCATTATTTTCAAGCTTCAGTGCAGAGTTGAATTTATTGTTTCAATGCCAAGCTTGGGCAGTAAACCAAATCAACTTCAAAAGATTAAGTATAAAAATGTCCACTTTTTAACATTTCAACCTTCCACAATGTGCAACTTATTGTTTTATGATAATTTTCAGCAAGACATAAATGGATTTTTTGAGAAGATTTACCATTTTAGCTTAAAGACGATTCTGATTGAACAAGTTATGAAGGTTACCTTTTTTTATGTATGCATATCCTCAAGTACATTTAATGTACAACCTCCTAGACAGAGCTGAATGTAAATAATTAAACACGGAATATTCCACTCAATTAGATTTACTATGGCATGAAAATAAAAAGTGATGAAAGGAACCACAATCTTTCTATTCAACTTTTTAATTAAACATGTAACGGTGAAGTCAGCAAATATCCTTCCACCACTTCTCTACACAATTCCATACATGCAATAATTCAATTTACTAAAAAAAAAAGGCGAAAAAAGAAAAATCTTCATTTTTAATTCAGCATCCAAATTTCCAATAATTTTGACAGCATGCTTATTTCTGAAATTACGCAGATCCCAAACATGTACAAGTAGGTTTCCAATCCAGATAAGTAGTGTCAGCTTGATAGCATGGAACGGCTTAACTTTAAAACTTATCTACTAAATCATCTGAAACTCAAATATTTGTCATATTCATTATGTTACCTACAGTTCCACAATGCAGCTATTATTCTTCAATTTTCTTTTTTTAAAAACAAGGTATAATTGCATCTTCCTGCTGCACATTCAAACTTGTGTGAAGACAATCATTTCAGGACTCTCTACAACATGGTGAACCAAAACTGCATCAGTAGTGAATGTCTATTGATTTTTTGTGTTTGATGATGGAAGTGAAAGTTACTTAGGCTTGGGTAAGATACTTGTGGAACCACCAGGGAAGACAATGTTAATCATAATATGATTTATTCTGAAACTCATGGTACTGGCGAGTCACTCTTCATCAATACAATCAAAATCGGTAATGTCCAGCTTCCAAATGTTGCTTTTACACTGAAGAGAATGTCACGGAACATAATTCTTCATATGATTGACTCCAGTGTTTGACAGTACAAGGATTTAACAGAATACATACATTCCACTATGACTATAAACACTTTCATCTTAAGTTGTTAAATCGTTAAATATGTAATATAAGAGATTCATCATAAAAAAGAATATGTCAATGACTGTAATATCTATCTCAACAAATATGAAATATTTGTGACTAGTTTCAATATTTACTTTTACAACAATGTAAAGCAACTTATATTAACTTATAATCAATCTTTAATCAAAACTAAAGAATTAAAAATCAGAAAAAACTGAACAGCAATCATTCATGTTGATCCTGACAGAAGCATACAATGAACATCACTGTTGGAGGAAAAAGCACTAAAACCCTGGGGAAAACCCACATGATGAAGCTGGAGATCCTGTACTGTTTCACACCAAATCAGGAAATCACATTTGAGAGGCAAGTACATTACCACTGCAATTCCGGACAACTAGGGTAAAAAACAATAAATTCCAGGTACCACATAAAATGTTCACATCAGGAAAGGGAGGATAGAATAAAAAGGCAGCAACTCATTGGAAATTTATCAAAATAACTTGAATTTTCACATAATTCTCTAAAACCCAGGGCCACATTCAACATAAAATATATAACAAAATATCAAATTCTTTGCATGACTAAGACTGATGAGTTGATGATATTGTCAATATGGATATTTGGGCTACTTTTTAGAAATCTGACTTTAACAGTTTCTGCTACTTCATACAAAGATGCCATTAGGAACTTTAGGAAAGATTTCAAAATAACTGATTTGGGTCAAATATTGTTTCCTCGAAGCCTCCTTGAAAGCATGGTCAACCTTAATCAAAATGATGCCAGTTTAATTTGATAATCTTATCTACATGAGTTCAACTAACAAATTATAAGTTCAAAAATTTATTTTGAAAAAAATGATAAAAATCAGAATATAACTATAGATTGTTATTCTTAAACACCGTTTCCACATGTACAAACCTTAAGACAGATTTGTATTTCTAATTCAGTTTTACGAGTAAAACTAGTTTCAGAATGTTTCACTAAATCAGTTACTATCAGACAATGCTGTACGATAGGAACTATGTTGATGCTTCAGATTACAGTTGTACAACATGCTGTCTTTGGAATTCACATCATTAATCACAAAATTGAAGGCAAAGCTCTGATTTAGGAATTTGTAACTTTTGGAAGAGTTTCAATAAATTGGAATTCCCTGATTTGTTTGATAGAACTTGTATAATGCACATTTGCAAATGGAGGATTTGTTGATATTTATGATTTGTATTTCAAGATTATATGATAAATCAATATTTTTACGCCCTTGTCTCACACGAGGGGATATTAAATCAAAATTTCTTATGCTTACATCATTGACAGATGATGTTCCATTGCTATAGGAATCTTCGTTTTAAACCACCTCTTCATTTACAATGAATGAAAGCAATGTTCAGGCTGTATAGTGATCAAGACCAAAGTATTGCTATTTCATTTAAAAGTAATTAGCTCCTTCATTTTTGTAATATTGCTAACCTGTACAAAAGTCACCTTAAGTCTGTTTTCAGTAGATCCAGCTGATCTCAGTAAATGAAAAATAACCATTAATGACACACTAAGAAGATACACCTCTTTCACCTCGTTGATCTCATATAATATATTAGTATACCTGGTGGTTCTGTTGTTTTTACCTTGTTCTTACTTTGGAACTTGACATTACTTACTTGGATTGACTAAGATTTACACGACCATTCCAGAACATATGGTCTTGTTCTCAAAGTACTTTTTCAGACGTTTTCATGTATATCTTTTGTTCATATTTTGCCCTCAATGTATGGAACATGAGTTTGAATGAAGGTTTTTTTAATACTTCTACCAAGAAAAAATGTATGTAGATTAACATGTTAAAATTTCTATAATATTTAACACTGACATTTTGACCTTACCAGATCACCAAAATCTTATCAGGTTAAGATATAAATAACTTCACTGGTTTCCAGGACATCTTAATTGATACACAATGTTTTCATTTCAAAAAGGGTCAAGCTTTGACCTTTACCCTACAACCATGACCTGTAATCATGTGAAAAAAATATTAATCAGGTTTAGACTAATTTTAACTAAACCAGTTCATCATAGATACCATTTACACCAAGTTTTTATAATAGATGGATGCACAAACTCCGAATCTACCTAACAACACACACACTTTTGTCCAACCAAGTGCAGGATATCACAGAACTATGCTTTCATTATTTCAACTACACCAATTTGCTATGTTTTCCCAACTCGGCTCTAAAAAGCAGATGAAAGGGAAATCATGATCTTCTGAGCGACTAAATCAAAGCCACCTATAACGTTAACAAAGCATGGTGATAAACTTTAGGACATGAGATGAGAACAGCCTTCAGAGGCAGGTCTCAGGAACAAAGATCCAATAACTTAAACAGAATATTGATCAGAAACACCAACACAGGTGTAGGGGAGACCTGGGATAATTAACCAAAAAAGTCAGAAAATGTCAAAACAGTTAAGTGTCAGGTGTGGTTACAAGAGTTAAGTTGATGATGATGACTGCCTTATAGTTTTTATTTTAACTGTAAACCATTTGTATGTCCTTACACAACAAAAATCTTCAAGGCTGTATTCCTTTTAAAACCTATGATAAACCATTTCCTCTATTATTGCTTAAGCAAAAACAAACATCAATTTCTAACATTGCTGACAATAAAAACAGCTGCATCCAATCCACATGACTACTTTAACAAAGGTAGAGACTAGCGTTCATAAAAAACATCTTCTATGTCCAAATGATTCATGTTAAGCTCAATCTCCACCATCCAGAATTGGTAGTGTCGTCTGCTCTTTTGTCTGACCTCTGTACTCAGATGCTGTCAGGTGATTTCCAGCTTAGATACAAAATCCTGTCTGCCAGTTTGATTGAAATCAGTAACATTAGAATGTTACCTCTGATCTTAAACTCATCCGAGAAGTTTTGTTGTCCAAGTCTCCTTACCCAACTTATCTTTGCATGTTCATTTAATGATTTTCCTGACTAAAGTTATCTTATGTATGCTACAGACTTTAAGATTCCAAAGGTTCACCTATTAAACTCTATCCACTTCAACACAAATGCTGCCTTCTAATGATGAACAATTAAATTCACGGCCCAGAGTTTGCATCCATACACAAAATCCAAAGGTACACTATGAGATCCTAATGATTATCATTAAGTTAGTAAACTACAGCATTATTTGTCATGATTATATTTCATATGAGAGACATCATTACTTCTGTCTTTAATTGTGTTCACCGTTAAAGGTGATTAATAAATACAATTAAATACGACTTCTTCCCACTTGGTTGTGTTTTAGTACCATTTTTCACAATGAAAAATTATGCTAATAAAGTTCCTCAGGGGAAATGCATAACACATACAGCTGATAGCATTACCAAAGCACAACAATCTAAATCACACTTCATTAAAAACACTCTTGTTATGGAAAGGAATCATACACTTTAAAGACTTAGACATGAAACAAGCATTTTAATGACAAATTAGAATATTGCACTACCAAACATGTCCACGAAAATGGCTGCAAATACTGTGCAAACAAAACCATGTCAAAGATTGGGCTTTCCACTGTTTAAACATTTACATTGCCAAGGTGACCTTGTGGACATATGCTTTGGGTTTGAAGCTACATTGCAGTCCCACTAGAAATGTAAAAACCTTCTTATGATCCTGATAGAACAATAAGACAATATGTAACCTGAAGGAGCCATTACCTTGGGTTCTAAGTGGCCAGTGCTGTAACCCCTCCCACTGTCACTGCTGGCTGCACTGTTACGATTACTGTTTGTCGGACTGCCTTTTGCTGGACTAGCGGTCCTTAGGTCACTGACAATGGAGTATGGGGTTGGTGAAGCCCAGTCACCGTGGTGATTGTGTAAGTTATGTTCGCCAACATGGTTGTGATTGTCAAATGGTCTACCATTTACATTCTGAAAAATAAAAGAAATTAAAACATCAAAACAACGGAACTGGGAATTAATAGAAAATTTGCTTGATAGACAAAATCTTTTTCCATTATAAAAAAATAAATGTCTTACAACACTCAAATATTATGACCAAAATTTTACACCATGTTTTACATGAGAAACTATCTGTGATGCTTTATTGCCATATATTCTTATAAAGTGAATCTTTAAGTGTTAAAAAATGTAAACTGTTCTTGAAATTATATAATGTTACAATTAGTAGCCTTCAAATTAAACAATCTTCCCTTAGCATATATATAACCAACCAACAGCACTAAATAAACCCTTCTGTGATCTGCTGACAGAGGTTGAACCAGCAATGTCACAGAAGTGTTAGTGTGGCACGCATCTGTGAAGCTTGAGTTTTACCAGTTGAAGCTATAACTGCAACGTTTCAGTCACAGACAGACACTTTACGTCATTTCATGTTTAAGAAAAGAGATGATCTAATGGAAACAAATACTCAGGTTTTCCACAGACTTGTAGTAAGATCTAGTAATCTTCTCCCCTAGATGTATATTATTGATAAGAAGTAAGAAAAATTACATTCTCCTGTCTAAAATGTACTCTACAGAGGGTTACAAGTCACAGCCACAAAGTAAAAGGTCATATTCTTTGGGAAGACAAATGTAATGAAAGTGAGGAAGATCAAAGTTCATGGATAGTGTAAAGGTCACTTTCCATGGTACTTGAAAAACCCTAACCAGACAAGAAACACTCAGTTCCCAGAGAGACAGAGGATATATTTAGACCAATTTCCAAAAGGGTAAAAGGTCAAATCAACAAGTTGAAAGGTTACTCTCTAAAAGTCAGACAAAAGGTTATATAGGATAAATGTATCCGGTTCTGTAATGAATAATTTCTCTGTACACAAAAGCACTACCATGCCTTAATACATATAAAGCTCATCAAATATTGCCAATCAATGAAGGAAGGCTAAATGGAACTTCTCCTTGACAACTCAAGCATGTAAAATATCACTGGTTTTATCATTATTCTACTTCATAACCATAAATGCTGCTGATTAATGTTGTATGATTAATGGTGTACTAAGTTTGGATCTTGGAACGAGGGTATGAGGTATATGTGTACACTTTCCACTTGGTGTTTTGGCCTCGGTTTGGGAGACAGGGTATGAGGTACATGTGTACACTTTGCCCATGGTGTTAGGACCTAGGTTTGGGAGACAGAGTATGAGGTACATGTGTACACTTTCCTCTTGGTGTTAGGACCTGGGTTTGGGAGACAGGGTATGAGGTACATGTGTACACTTCCCCCATGATTTTAGGACCTGTTTTTGGGAGACAGGGTATGAGATTTATGTGTACACTTTCCCCTAGGTGTTAGGACATGGGTTTGGGAGACAGGGTATGAGGTACATGTGTACACTTTGCCCATGGTGTTTGGACCTCAGTTTGGGAGACAGAGTATGAGGTACATGTGTACACTTTCCTCTTGGTGTTAGGACCTGGGTTTGGGAGACAGGGTATGAGGTACATGTGTACACTTTCCCCTAGGTGTTTGGATCTGGGTTTGGAAGACAGGGTATGAGGTACATGTGTACACTTTCCCCATGGTTTTAGGACCTGTGTTTGGGAGACAGAGTATGAGGTACATGTGTACACTTTCCCCTAGGTGTGAGGACCTGGGTTTGGGAGACAGGGTATGAGGTACAAATCACAGAATCGAGTATAGTATGGGGTAGGGTGGGGTGGGGGACATCAAGTAAGTCCTTTCATACTGGCATATCATAAATTAGCTGTGTATCTCCTTGCAAATCTAAGAAAATGATTGTGATCAATTAATTTTGTTGTTTATTTTTAGAGATTTTTTTCCAAAACATAAGCTGCAGCTTTTTTCCTTGGTGGTTGGGCGTGTGGTTTGGTAAATATGTGGATGAAAGAAAATAGGCAGAATGAAAAAAAAAACAAAACAAAAAAAAAATGAAGCGCACCAGTACAAAACGGTTTTTTACAAGTACCTGTCCATCACGTGTCACAGAATGTCTAGAACTGTCATTTACAATTGAAAACAGGATGATTTTACGATTGGAATAAAAATAGCATTCTTGTGGATTTAATTAATCATACCTTTTGATATTAATCACAATAATATCTTCTGGACTAGGATCAATAGATTATCAGGTTAGAGGTCAAATTCTAGAATGACTGCCATGCTTGTTAATGATAAGAATGGCTTCATCTAACTTACAAAAAATAATATGAGACTATAAGAATTTTGTCAGCATGCAAGGGTCTTCGTTAATATTTAACAGTACAATTGCTGATGGATATATTATGTAAACTGTACATAACGTCAGGCCCTATATCTGTGCATAGACAATCGTTGATGGCTTCCAAGCCAGATGAGTTCGATAATTGCTATTTTACATTTTTGAAACACTTTAATAAAAGAAAGAATTACCTGTGTATAATTCACTTACAAACTTATATTAAATGTTTCTCTGACGATCTTGATAAATTGCCCTCCGTTGTCTGTTATATCAACATACTTCAGTCAACAAAATGGTTACCACATAGGAAGAATGGCTGCAACTTATATTCCAGTGCAGCTAACATGTGGATCAAAATGAAAAAATCGTTAAAAAATTGGCAGTATATATAATTTCTTTTTTTTTAAGCGCATTCTTTGAAATATTCATGTTAATTTCATCACGTTTTCCTCTAGAAATGCTTATATTCATCACAAACAAATTTCCTAGACAACCAAACATGAACTTGTTGATTCAATAATGTTTAACACCCCAACAATTTTAGTATCTATCACCAAACAGCTTCCCTGACAACTAAATGGAAGTTTGATCGATACACGCAGAATATTTCTGTGATCAGCAATAAAAAAAAATACATGTTCAGAATTCTTATTTGTATGACATATTTCCTGAGAATCCAAACAAAACTTGATCCTACCAAATACCATTTAATATGGTTACCTCCTGACTGGGCTCTGGGTCCTGTAGTTCACATCAAACACTAGAATTATTGGATAATGGATCAATGAGGCGAATCAACATCTGTTATTTTACCACCATCCCTATAGTGTAACCCTGACTTCAGTATAATCAAATAAGGTCTATCAACACACATAGAACCAAAGTACATGTGGGTATAAGACTTGCTGTTGTACAGATATGGGAAATCTTCCAGTTACCATAATCACCAAAAAGGGATTACTCTTTTTCAGCTGTAATTACATAATTGGACTTAAACTATTCAACATCCCACGAGGATTGAATCATGGAAGAAGGCACAACCTAACAGCAAAAAGTGGTTTACTAGCTCAGCTAGCTTCTACGGAGAAATTCAGACCAAAATCCAGAGATCTTGATTATTCTCTAAAATTCTATTAGCCTTATTTAACAATTATGAGTTGCCTACAAATTTCACAGCCTTAAATACTGGTTCCAAACAATTAGTGTCTTTCATTCTAATAGAAAATATTGTATTTATCCTGCAATAAGCCCACCTGGTCAAATCATCACTTCTTAATTACAAGCTGGGGATGGTTTTATTACAGGACAATGAATTAGCATTGCTACATATCTAAACTGAAAAGCACTAATATATTTTTGAGCTTATTACCATAACTAAAGTGTTTGTGTAATAAACCTCTCTTTCTGATAAAGATTGGTTACATACAATAGTTGTCTGCCCTTCTCATTGATAACTGTTATCCATACAATAGTTGTCTGCCCTTCTCAATGAAAATAGTGGTTTTGTCTTCTTTTGATAAACAGTGGATAAAATCTGAAGTTGTCTCCCTTCTGAAAAATAGTGGGTGCATCCAATAGTTGTCTTTCCTTCCAGTAAATAGTGGTTAATATTTAAATTTGTCACACTTCTGATTTTAAGTGTTTAAACATTCAGCGGTTGTCTTTATCCAGTAAACAATACAAAATTATATCAAATGTAGAATTTCAAATTCTACATATCTTGATAGAAAAAGTCAAAATTCTCTTTAACTTTAAGATCAGGTAGATTGTTTTTCAAACATGTCATCATGATCAAAAACTGGCAGAGTAGTAAAACATGTACCAATTGTACTGTGAGCACAGAGAAGTTTTATAGCCAGCATCTATCAATCAATTATACAAATGTCTCTTCCATGGTCACTAGTAATCAACTAGTGTAGTCTAATTATAGAAAACTGATAGATTGCCTCCAAAAGGAAATGTACCATTCAGGAAAAGAATTATCACTTTTACTTTCGTTAAGATACACCAATCAGTTAATGAAGCAATTATTCAATTGAACAGTTGGTTACTTAATAAAGCACAATACATTGCACAGCAACCAATTTAACATACACTAAAAATTTTGAAGGTGTCATTGTACCTCTTGTATAAATGACAATATGTTGCTTTTTCAAGTTGTTTCAAGGTGGGTTACTTCCAGGAAAACATAACACTGGATGACTTTTCAACTGGTACAGATTTCAAATATCAAAATTTAAACAAAACCCAACAATAGATCGGTTTTATGGTGTATATCCATCATATATTAAATACCTTATACACTGAAAAACCAAAAACCAAAACTGGACCATTTTTGTTCACACCAGGAAAATGCACACACCCAAAACCAAAGCATTCATCTTTTCACTAAGAAATCACAAATAATATCACAGATATTAAAAGCCTACAACAGTATCATCGACAAGACACATTTTGCAGAAAGGAGTAGAATCAATCGACTGAAGCTCCTGAACTGCTGATCATGCAGAGTTGACAAATATCACTGATTATGTAGATTCCAACATCTGCTGATGTTCCTTCTGGAAATTATGGGGTGCTTTAGCTGGCAATATCCAGTAATATATTTTATTCTCACATAATGATGGGGTAGGGGCACTTTACCAGCCTAAAACGTAACTCAATGATGCTGTATTACCTGTCACAACATGTAGGAAGACGTAATCACTTGGGGAAGGAAAGGACTGATTTA